AGTCTGGAATTGTGCCCGGTATATGGCAATAGGCTCACCCCCTGTTACATGGGACTCATAACATAAATAGTGAGAAGTGGGTGTTACATTGTACAGTGGCAGTTGTCGTGGTGGCCCGGAGGTTTAAGACGCCCACTTCTCATGCATGAGGGTGCGGGTTCGAAACCTACCAACGGCAAGTACCAATGTGACTTTTTCCGAGTTATATGTACTTTCTAAGATTATTTAGACACCACTGACAAACGGTGAAAGAAAAACATCGTGAGGAAACCTGAACTTATAATTTCTAATTATAAGTTTGAAATCGCCAACCCGCATTGAGCAAGCGTGGTGATTAATGCTCTAACCTTCCCCTTGTGAGAAGAGGCTTTGCTCAGCAGTGGACATTTATAGGCTGTTGATGATGATAATGTGCACCTCTGCCTTCCCCTTCGAGGATAAAAGGCGTGATGTTATGTTGTTGTTGTTGTTGTTTAACGGATTTTAAATAAATTTATATCAAGGAAGCGGATATAATTTGAGTATCGGTATATCACGATCGTAAACCAACCGGTCCAGTTTGGTAACTGTTTAATTTATGCAGTTAAGTTAAATATTTTAACTTTACCTGTATTGAGGTCTCGTGGTTGCTGGTTAGATGATCGACTGGTGATTATATCGCATCGATTCTCGATTAGAGTAATATTTTTGACTATTCGATATATGTATGTATCAGAGACATTGTACAACATACTTTTTTAAAAAGAGTAACGAATGGAGTTTCTTGCTCGTTCTTCTCCATTCGAATCTACATTACTCTACTACCTAGTTTCACTGACGGACTGACTGACAGACTATTATTTATTTTGTATTTATTGACGTTTCAAAAGTACCAAAGTATGGTTTAATTGAAATAAAAGTCAAAGTCAAAGGACTTTGACTTTGAAAACGTTTTTCGTGGTTTTATTTATTTCAACTGTCATAAATGAACCTCTGCTTTCTGTGTGTATTGTGTACAGGAGTTTGGAATCGTGACTGATGTTTAATGATACGCTCATGTCTGTTATATATCTTGATTAGGCAGGCAATAGGAAATGGGCCTAATATAAAACTTCAACTTTGTCTACCGACTCGAATGAAATGTAATGAAGGTATTTGTCAAAAATATAGGTATAATAAAAATCCAAAAAAGTAAGCAACAGACACTATTTCTATAAACAATTTCAAAATTCGCGGTTCTTAACATTGTCTGACACGAAAATCGAACCTAATCTACTACCAATCAACAAGACAGACATACAGACAGACAAACTAACATGTTTTCGCAATAAACATAATACTTTACATTCCGTGTTGGGCCGGAGGCATTAATAGTACACGTTGCGACATAGGAATCACGCAGCACGGCTCCGAACCCACAGCCCGGCGATATTGTGACATTCCGTCCTTACATACTAATAATAATATAATGTCAACTTATTGCGGAAATGTCTATTTCAGTCTAAACTTGACTATTTAAGATAGTAACGCCATCTGTGATCTGATTCTAGAACTATTTTTCATTTAGATTGTTTTGTTAAAGAGTGACAACTTTTTTTGTTTGGTCTCGTTGTTAATGTGATTGCTTAGAAAGTCTTTACATAACATAACATCACGCCTTTTATCCCGGAAGGGGTAGGCAGAGGTGCACATTGTACCACTGTACAATGTAACACCCACTTTTCACTATTTATGTTATGAGTCCCATGTAATAGGGGGTGAGCCTATTGCCATATACCGGAAAGTCTTTAGTGTAGAATATTATTTTTATTTAAGCTACGAATTATGGGTTAAAAATGATAACGAGCTTAACAAATGTCCTTTTTAACCGACTTCAAAAAAAGGAGGAGGTTCTCAATTCGACCGTATATATGCTTTTTTTTTTTTTTTATGTTTGTTCGCCGATATCTCCGTTGTTTTATAAACCGATTTGAAAATTCTTTTTTTGTTAGAAAGGAGATAGTTCCAGAATGGTCCCATGATAAGGAAATCAGGATCTGATGATGGAAGACCAGGGAAACCGAGGGGAAATTTTAAAAATTATAGGGGTGACTAGAGCATTTGTTAATTTTTTCATTAAGTATTAAAAACCACTACAATCTGATAAAGGTCTGGAGCCGATCTGATGAAGGAGCCGAGAGCCAGTTGAGGGAACTCCTCAAACGGTTAACAGTAGCTACCTTGTGTTTGGGTTTGATTAATTTGTATTGATGAGGACTTTACACCTGTGTGGGATGTAATTGTCAATAAGGGTCTGATGATGAAGTAGTACGATAGTCGAAGGAACTCCTCAACGGTTAACAGTAGCTACCTTGTGTTTGGGTTTGATTAATTTGTATTTATGAGGACTTTACACCTGAGTGGAGTGTAATTGTCAATAAGGGTCTGATGATGAAGTAGTACGATAGTTGAGGGAACTCCTCATCAACGGTTAACAGTAGCTACCTTGTGTTTGGGTTTGATTAATTGTATTTATGAGGACTTTACACCTGAGTGGAGTGTAATTGTCAATAAGGGTCTATGATAAAGTAGTACGATAGTGAGGAAACTCCTTAACGTTAACAGTAGCTACCTTGTGTTTGGGTTTGATTAATTTGTATTGATGAGGACTTTACACCTGAGTGGGGTGTAATTGTCAATAAGGGTCTGATGATGAAGTAGTACGATAGTTGAGGGAACTCCTCAACGGTTAACAGTAGCTACCTTGTGTTTGGGTTTGATTATTTGTCTTGATGAGGACTTTACACCTGAGTGGGGTGTAATTGTCAATAAGGGTCTGATGATAAAGTAGTACGATAGTTGAGGGAACTCCTTAACGGTTAACAGTAGCTACCTTGTGTTTGGGTTTGATTAATTTGTATTGATGAGGACTTTACACCTGAGTGGGGTGTAATTGTCAATAAGGGTCTGATGATAAAGTAGTACGATAGTTGAGGGAACTCCTTAACGGTTAACAGTAGCTACTTTGTGTTTGGGTTTGATTAATTTGTATTAATGAGGACTCTACACCTGAGTGGGGTGTAATTGACAATAAGGGTCTGATGATGAAGTAGTACGATAGTTGAGGGAACTCCTCAAAGGTTAACACTAGCTACCGTGTGTTTGGGTTTGATTAATTTGTATTTATGAAGACTTTACACCTGAGTGGGGTGTAATTGTCAATAAGGGTCTGATGATGAAGTAGTACGATAGTTGAGGGAACTCCTCAACGGTTAACAGTAGCTACCTTGTGTTTGGGTTTGATTTATTTGTATTGATGAGGACTTTACACCTGAGTGGGGTGTAATTGATAATAAGGGTCTGATGATGAAGTAGTACGATAGTTGAGGTAACTCCTCAAAGGTTAACACTAGCTACTTTGTGTTTGGGTTTGATTAATTTGTATTGATGAGGATTTTACACCTGAGTGGGGTGTAATTGTCAATAAGGGTCTGATGATGAAGTAATCCAATAGTTGAGGGAACTCCTTAACGGTTAACAGTAGGTATTTTGTGTTTGGGTTTGATTAATTTGTATTGATGAGGACTTTACACCTGAGTGGGGTGTAATTGTCAATAAGGGTCTGATGATGAAGTAATCCAATAGTTGAGGGAACTCCTTAACGGTTAACAGTAGGTATTTTGTGTTTGGGTTTGATTAATTTGTATTGATGAGGACTTTACACCTGAGTGCGGTGTAATTGTCAATAAGGATCTGATGGTGAAGTAGTACGATAGTTGAGGGAACTCCTTAACGGTTAACAGTAGCTATTTTGTGTTTAGGTTTGATTAATTTGTATTGATGATGAGGACTTTACACCTAGATGGGGGGGGGGGTGATGGTCATTAAAGGTCTAATGACGAAGTAGTATGATAGCTAAGTGACTCCTCAATGGTTAAGAGTACCCACCCGGTGTTTGAACTTGCATAATTTGTATTGATGAAAACTTTGCATCCATGTGGGTTTTGTATAATATAATATATCAAAGTACTAAACTAAAAAGTATAAAATAAAATTAAAAAACTGCGTTTAAAAAAACCGACTTCAAAAACAAATGACAAACAAAAAGTAAAAACTAAAAAGGAAAAAAAAACTATTAGTGGTCATACGTACTTATAGCTTACACACCCACTGATAGGTTAGAAGTCGGTGCCACAAACCCACAATAAAATATAAAGTAGACAAAAGTCACAGCTGGTATAATCCATAATAAAATTGTAAACAGCTCAATAATGTTAGGTTTTTAATGAATAATTTTGTTTAAAACTTGTGGCACCGACTTCTAACCTATCAGTGGGTGTGTAAGCTATAAGTACGTATGACCACTAATAGTTTTTTTTTCCTTTTTAGTTTTTACTTTTTGTTTGTCATTTGTTTTTTGTCGTATTTTTTCAAAATAAAAATCTTGCGATGACGATACATTGATTGTGATTTGAAACGACACCATTACTTCTAACTACAAAATATTTTTTATAGTGTCACAACAAACCCTGACTTCTATGAACAACGTTTTATTACAACAAATAAAAAGAAATAACCCTCGTTTTTAAACGTTAAACAATTTTCATCATTGGACTAAAGCCTAAACCGAATGATTTGTATTTAGTATTGATACTTAAATCCAACAATCATCATCATCATCAACAGCCAATAAGTGGCCACTGTACTGACCAAAGGCCTCTTCCCACCCGGAGAAGGTTTGAGCATTAATCACCACGCTTGCTCAATGCGGGTCGGCGATTACAAACTTATAATTAGAAATTATAAGCCCAGGTTTCCTCACGATGTTTTCCTTCACTGTTTGTCAGTTGTGTATAGATAATCTTAGAATACATATAACTTGGAAAAAGTCACATTGGTACTTGCTGTTGGTAGGTTTCGAACCTATCTCCTCATGCATGAGAAGCGGGCGTCTTAAACCTCCGGACCACTACGACAGTCCAACTATAAAATCCAACTATAAATATAACCAATACCCTTTAACCGTTCTTTTCTAATTGTTCCAGAAGATGCCGGCCAAAAACGTCAGCGTCCTCGTGACATGTCTCTCGCGGAGCCACCACACACCATGGAGATAGCACAGATCCTGATATCATTGCTCCACGCGTGGGGCCTGGACCCAGACCTGGACAGGGTCTGCGAGTCCAAACTTGGATTGCTGAGGCCTATGGTATGTACTTTTTAGTATTATTATTCGCCCGTGAAGAAGAATTCATGTTTTATAGATGCAGGGATGATGACAGGGTATGGAAATTAAAAATCTAATTAGTCCGTCAGTTGGGTAACGAAAAAATAGTCGTATAAGAAAACAATACTTAGATAAAACGAGTTTAGGAGTGGGACGTAGCTACATCATTTTAGAGTATAAATCGTACTCAAAAGTGACGTCTTGCTATATTTCAAATCAATATATCATCGAAACTATTCGTTTCCGTAAGAAAATAAAAAATACGTGTCTAATGTTCATAAAAAATCTACCAGAAAGACATTAAAATAAAAATTAGTCATCTACCTCATTGAAAGTCAAAGTCAAAATCATTTATGTTAATTAGACCAGAGAGGCACTTTTGAACGTCAATAAAAAAAATTAAAAGTGAAAGCTATTTGCTCATTCCAAGGTGTAGATTTCTATGGAGAAGAACGAGCAAGAAACTCCATAGGTTACTCTTTTTCAATCGGATTTACAATACAATTCTCCAGTTACATAGTTTTGTTGTTTGAAGGGTTGTCGTTTGACGTGAAGGACTTAGGAGAGGCTTTTATAAGTAATGGACGTCATACAACTGATGATAATGATGATGAGTAAATCACGGCGTAGCGTGATTCCAAAAAATAAGTATCTGAACATTGTGCTAGGACTTGCTGTAGATAATCTAGACTTTTGATTTTTAAACGTTGAGGTTTATCAGAGTACGCTGTAGTGATGCGTGGTCTCTTTCCCTTAGTCGGCTCTTATGAAATCCGCTGGAAAATTAGGAGTCTCTAGACGCTACAATATTTGTAAATTACTGACCTTCAATCTGGCTTTATTGGCTCAAACCAGAAGAATATAATTTCCATAAACTTAATACCTATTTAAAAAGTACACCGTATATCGTCTTCTATTTCCAATTTTCTACTAAAACACTTTATAATTTCAGGTACCAGTCTGCTTCGGTGTGGTCTCCCGTCATGGCCACATGGCTGTCCAGCTCCCTACATGGCTCGGTAGCTGGTCCGCCGCCTGCGCTTCAGCTCCTGACGACCCGTTACTCATCACTTCAGATCTTCCACCTGAGCTGGTTCGCCAGGAGAAGTTGACCAGGTTAGCTGAAAGATGAAGATGGTTTCTGAAAGATGTTCGTATACAGCGGACTTAGTATGAATTTGTATCGAAATGCGTTCTGAAATGTCGAGCCGACAATTAAGAGCGTAGAACGCCTCCTCGTTTAGAACATCACGCCTTTTATCGCGAAGGGGTAGGCAGAGGTGCACACATTATGCCACTGTACAATGTAACACCCACTTTTCACTATTTATGTTATAAGTCCCATGTAATAGGGGGTGAACCTATTGACATATACCGGGAATAATTCCAGACCGTGCTACTACTGAGAATTTATAAAAAACCCAGTAATACTTTGCCCTGCAGTCGCACTTGCCGTCGTCGTCGACATCGCCCATGGACACCTGGAACACTAGAGGCGTTACAAGAGCGTTGCCGGCGTTTTGGGGATTAGGAATTTCAGAATTGTTGTAGGTTCGGGGATTTGGAGAGGTTAATTGGGCTTCCGGTAACCTCACTCACACGACGAAACACAACGCAAGCGTTATTTCACGTCGGTTTTCTGTGAGGCCGTGGTATCACTCCGGTCGAGCCGGCCCATTCGTGCCGAAGCATGGCTCTCCCACACTTAAGAAATGATTACTGGGAATTTCACATTACCGAAAACGTTACAATTCTTAGCGTGACCCACAAACCGGAGACCCCATCATCAAGAGCCATTCTTCATCTTATCATCTTTCTTTTATTTCCAGGTTATTCTCATCGAAGCTCCACTGGGAATTGAGCACGACGCTGACAACGAACCACCTGCTCTCCATCGTGGCTCTAGCCAACACACTCATGTCGATGAGTAACGCCAGCTTTGTCCCTGAACAAGAAGTCATTCGAAGATTACACAGGTGAATATTTAATTTCATCAACAGCCTATAATGCCTACTATTGAGCAAAGCCTCTTCTCACACGGAGAAGGTTTCAGCATTAATCACCACGCTTACTCAATGCGGGGTGGCGATTTCAAACTTATAGTTAGAAATTATAAGCCCAGGTTTCCTCACGATGTTTTCCTTCACAGTTTGTCAGTGGTGTCTGATCTTAGAAAGTAAATATAACTCGGAAAAAGTCACATTGGTACTTGCCGTTGGTAGATTTCGAACCAGCACTCTCATGCATGAGAAGCGGGCGGCTTAAACCTTTGTGCCTATTCCTTGCCGGCAGTTGCACTTTCGACCACTCGTCTTGTTATGTTGGTGAATTAATTATAGACGAATTTATTTTACTTGGATTTATTACAATAATGTGCAGAGCGCACGACGTATACACACACCAGAGTATGACGGGTAGACAGCGGCGTTATTGACGAGTGTCCTACCTTATATAACACATTATAATGAGGGGGCCATTACTTACTAAGTAGTGATGTACATACATGTAACACGTCTTACTTTCACCTTTTGTATTTACATATAAGTTTGGATCTTGCACTCCTTTGCTCGACCGTTTTAACATTTCTACCGGGACCCCTTGTCCCCAGACCCTCAACCAGGAACTCCTCATCGTGGGCAGCAGACGAGGAGAGAGAGGAACAGCTGGCCGCCCAGCAGGCCCACATCAAGCAAGGATGGTCTCTATTAGCTACGCTACACTGTGTATTATTGCCTGACAAGGTTGTCGCTGCAGGTTGGCGTATTTTAAATGTATTTAAAGCTTATAGTTTGCATGATTTATTGATATTTTTGACTGTGTTTTAGATTTTTGCCTCATACTAGGATTTTTCTTATATTTATTTGGTGGGTTCACATTTGTCCACTACCACGCCTGATGGTAAGCGATGATGCGGTCTAAGATGGATCACGTTGTCCCATAAGCAATCTATTCACTCCGAGTGAATAGGTTGAAGATACCATTCAAGAACTAAAAAAATCACCTGTCTTGTGGGTGTGTAAACAACATAACTCTGTACGAGAATCGAACCCACTATAAAGTAGAACTATTTCACTGGTTTTTCAGTTCCATGTAGTAAGGGATGACATCCATCTTGTTTGACACCGAACACAATTACTGAATTTCAATATTACAGAGTTTGTTTCAATCGGGAATCGAACTTCAGACTCTTAACTTTGCTGTCAACAAGATAGACTTTTAACATAATCATTAATTCTGTATAAAAGTTATATATTTCCTACAGGAGCGAAGAGTTTTAAGCGTCCACAAGTGGAGATGTTGGCTCGACGCTGGCAACATCACTGTCTGGAGGTACGTGAGGCTGCGCAGGCGCTGCTACTGGCTGAACTTGGCAGGTAAGATAATTTAAAAATAATGGATTATTATCTTTGAGATATTTTAGTTAGAAAATTGGAATTAGAATGTTTCATATAATCGTGAACATTCAAGTCAAAATGAGAATAGCTTTTTTTCTTTTTGAAGTCGTTTAAAAAGAATTCGCTCAGTAGTTCTAATTTTTTATTTATTTATTTTTTATTTTTATTTATTTAATTTAATTGCCCCTCCCCCCTTCCCCAATCTCCCCAATCCCTGAATCTCCAACAATCCTCAAACTCCTTATTCCCAAAAGGTCGGTAACGCACTTGTAACGCCTCTGGCGTTCCAGGTGTCCATGGGCGACGCCGATTGCTTACCATCAGGTGATCCGTCTGCTCGTTTACCGGCTTTACCATAAAAAATGTTAAAAAGAGGCATTAGTTACCACCTACATTTTGGAACGAGCTCTTTGTTTCACTGACTGACAACTCAATTTTGACGTTTTAAAGGCGCCTGTTTGCGGATTAGCCGCTTGAATGCACCGATTTTAAGTGTGGGAGAGCCATGCTTCGGCACGAATGGGCCGGCTCGACAGGAGTCATACCACGGCCGAGCAGAAAACCGACGTGAAGCAACGCTTGCGTTGTGTTTCGTCGTGTGAGTGAGGTTACCGGAGGCCCAATTACCCTCCCCTTCCCCAATCTCCCTAATTCCTGAATCCCCAACAATCCTCAAATTCCTAATCCCCAAAAGGCCGATTGCTTACCATCAGGTGATCCGTCTGCTCGTTTACCGGCTTATGCCATAAAAAAAAAAGAAAAGAAAAGATACGAAACACTGTAGAAAATACATTGTGCCTCGCGTGGATCCACATTTAGACACACGACGGGTTAATTGAAGTAAATGCTTTGACTTTGTCATCCCCAGACTTGGTCCGAAGGGCCGCAAGACGCTGGTGGACAACTGGGCACAGTTCCTCCCTCTTTACACACACACAGAGAGCATCAACCCACACGCGGCGCACAAGGAACCGGCTGAGAAGATACAGCAAGTTGTAAGTTATACATTTTATTTATTTATTTATATGACTGCACGGTTGGTGCGGTGGCTGGGCAACCGGCTGCCGTGCAACGTGTCGCGGGTTCGATTCCCGCACGGGACAACACTTTGTGTGATCCACAAATTTTTGTTCCGGGTCTGGGTGTCATTGTGTATGTGAACTTGTATGTTTGTAAACGCACCCACGACACAGGAGAAAATCCTAGTGTGGGGCAACGTTTTTTTTAAAAAAAAAATTACTAGCTTTTACCCGCGGCTTCGCTCGCGTCATAAAAGGATAAAAAGTAGCCTATGTGACATATACCAATGCAGACAGCGCCATCTATACCAATACTTTTGTTTTCCCTCGGGAATACCAATTTTTTCCGGGATAAAAAGTACCCTATGATTTAATCCGGACTTCTAACTTTACTTCTGCAAAAATTCAAAGCAATCGGTTAAGTAGTTACGGCGTGAAAGCGGAACAAACAAACGAACTCACTTTCCGATTTATAATATTAGTAAGGATTAAGGGATTCAACAGCTGTAATATGAGGATAGTTGCTAGGATATGAAAATTAAAAATGTAATTAGTCCGTCAGTTAGATAATGAAAAAATATTAAACACTTATGTGGTTCGAAACTAGTAGAGCTTTTCTCATTAAATTCACGTGAGTTACCCACGATTTTTAGTTAATTTACTATGTCCATAAACTCTTAATTCTTCTCCTCACAGCAAGAAGAAGAGTTCGAAGAAGAAGAAGAGGAGATAATCCGCAAGCCGTCATCTCTCGCGGAGCTGAAACGCAAGCAGACCACTGCGGTCGTTCTGCTGGGTGTCATCGGAGCTGAGTTTGGCCAGGATATTACTAGTGAAGGTAGATTATTTGCAACTTATACATATATATAACTATGGTTATTTAACTTGGCTTATTTAACTGTTTTTTATGGCATAAGCCAGTAAACGAGCAGACGGATCACCTGATGGTAAGCAATCGGCGTCGCTCATAGACACCTGGAACACCTGGGCCTTTAACCAAACGCCACTTTAGCGCTTGTCTACACAGAGAGTAGAAATCAAAATGTATGGGGATGACACTATAATTTGGTTTTATAGTCTACATGTAGACAAGCGCTAAATGGTATTTGGCTACAGCTGCTGAGGCGTTAGAAGACCGTAATCGGCCTTTTGAGGAGGATTGTTGGGGTTTCAAGAACCATATGGTTCTTTATATCTGGTACTTAAAATTCCGGCAATGCACCTATGACTCCTCTGGTGTTGCGGGTGTCCATGGGCGACGCTGATCGCTTACCATCAGGTGATCCGTCTGCTCGTTTGACTCTTATTCCATAAACAACATGTAATGCATTTATGTAAACTGATTTCTCCATTATATATATATATATCTAAACTGCTAACAGAAATTACTATTTATTCTTATCATTTCATTTATGTCTGCTTACCCCTCCATGGGCTATAGCATATTATGATTTGCATATATTTGCTTGCGTTGTTCAAGGCGCTGCTGGCAATAAGAGGCGTAAGGATGGAGACAGTCGAAAGAGCTCCGTGGTCGAAGGTAAGTTATATAATCATGCCACTGGCTTCTGGCTGCGACATTGTAATTGGGTACTATCATTAGTCAAAAATAAATTATTTCGACTGTTAAATACAATAGAATATAAAAAAATAATCACACTTTCATTAATTGATTTTATGACCAACTTAATTTTAGTATTTTTCCAGCAATTTTTTTAAGAAATAAGTACGCTGTTTGACGCTAAAAAAGTGACGTCACAATACACAATCTCGTACAAAATTCATTGAAAACTGTCGTTTTTGACAGCTCGTAATAATATTGAATTTGACTAGTTGGCAAGTACCCGATTAATTAATTAATTAGGAAGGAGGATGGAAGATGGTTCCAAAATATCGGTCTAAAATACCGAGTCCAAAAGTCTAGAGCCGTCAATGTTAATGAGGCAGGAGAAGGAACGGGGCGGTGTTTAGTCAGTAAGAGTCTGACACTCCCTCCCGCCTCACCCAGGCGGGAGAAGTCATTGCATAATGTTCCACGCAACAAAAAAGGGGTATTCCTATACCGAAATAGGAATTAGAATTTAAGTGAAGCTAATGCGAGTACTTTATAATCAGGGGAGGTATTTTTAGGGTTTTTTTTACCATCCCCGTTCTTACTCCTGCTCTTCGCGCCGGAGCCCCGGCAACCCGTTAGACCTTCCGCGGCTCCGGTGCGGCACCTGGTGGTAAGCAATCAGCCCCCACCCATGGACACCCGCGACACTAGAGGCGTTACAAGTGCGTTGGCAGCCTTTGAGGAGAGGGGGAATTGGACCTTCGTTAACATCACATCACTCACACAACACTGTGGTTATTTCACATCGATTTTTTTGTTACGACACTGGTATCGCTCCAGTCAAGCTGGCTTAACAGTGGAGCAGCATAGCTCTCATACTTCATGAATGTATGTTTATAGCTTTGACTGCCAATAGAAAACCCTAGAAGGCAAAGCCTCCACTAATATCGGTCACCGGTGACCCCCGTGGCGTTTAACATGTTAATTTTTTTTATGGCATACGCCGGTGGACGAGCAAGCAGATCACCTGATTGTAAGCAATCGGCGTGGCCCATGGACTACCGAAACACCAGAGGCGTTACAAGTGCGTTACCGGCCTTTTGGGGATTAGGAGTTTGAGGATCGTTGGGGATTCAGGAAATGGGGAGATTGGGGAAGGGGACGGTAATTGGGCCTCCGGTAACCTCACTCACACGACGAAACACAACGCAAGCGTTGCTTCACGTCGGTTTTCTGTGAGGCCGTGGTGTCACTCCGGTCGAACCGGCCCATTCGTGCCGAAACATGGCTCTCCCACACTTATAATACACACTAATAAAATATATCTTTCTTTCCAGGCTTCACACTAAGCTCATCAAATAACCTAGCCCGTCTGACGGCGCTAGCGCTAACCCATCTACTTCTAAGCCCGGCCTGCCCCCGCTTACCCGCGCACACTCCGCTGCGGCGCGCGGCCGTGGACCTGCTGGGACGTGGGTTCACTGTCTGGGAACCGTATTTGGATGTCAGCCATGTGCTTCTAGGTAACATTAGTTAAATAGTGATGATAATATATTTAATGTAACACCCACTTTTCACTATTTATGTTATGAGTCCCATGTAATAGGGGGTGAGCTTATTGCCATATGCCAAGCATAATTCCAGACTACGTGCTAATACATTTTTTTTAAAGCCAGTAGTTTTTTGCCTGAGCTGGGAATTGAACCTAAGACCCCTTGCCCGGCAGTCACACTTGCGACCACTCGCCTAACGAGGCAGTAATATTATATACTTATTGTATAAAACACAAGAGTTTGTTTGTTTATTTGAACGCGTTAATCTTAGAAAGTACTGGACCGATTTGGAAAAATCTTGTTGTGTTGGATAGCCCATGTATCAAGGAAGGCTATAAAACAACACGCTACGATGAGTGTAGTATTAGCATGTAGTTGTATTGTGAACCTGATTGAAAAAGAGTAACCTATGGAGTTTCTTGCTCGTTCTTCTCCATAGGAATCTACACCTTGGAATGAGCAAATAGCTTCACTTTTAATTTTATTGTTGACGTTCAAAAGTGCCTTTCTGGTCTAATTGAAATAAATTATTTTGACTTTGATTTTGACTTTGACTTTGATTAATAAGCGAAATTTTATTGTTGACGTTGAAAAGTGCCTTTCTGGTCTGATTGAAATAAATGATTTTGACCTTGACTTTGACTTTGATTAATAAGCGTAATTTTATTGTTGACGTTCAAAAGTGCCTTTCTGGTCTAATTGAAATAAATGATTTTGACTTTGACTTTGATTAAGCAGAGCGGGTGAAATGGCTTCAGTTACTTTAAAAATGCTTTAACAATTCGCAGGTCTGCTGGAGATGTGTTGCGACGCGGACAAGTTGGTCCCGTCGATGACGTACGGACTGCCGCTGACGCCGCAGGCAGACTCCTGCCGGACGGCCAGGCACGCACTCACGCTCATCGCCACTGCCAGGTACTGCCAGACTTATTGATATTGTTTACTGCACCGTTGGTGCGGTGGCTGGGCAACCGGCTGCCGTGCAACGTGGCGCGGGTTCGATCCCCGCACGGAACAACATTTTGTGTGATCCACAAATTGTTGTTCCGGGTCTGGGTGTTATGTGTATGTGAACTTGTATGTTTGTAAACGCACCCACGACACAGGAGACAATACTAGTGAGGGGCAATGTTTAAAAAAAAAGAATTATGTGGATTCTTCTCTTCCTAATTTTTTTTGTGGTTTTTGTTATTATTGGCTCTCTGCGTCTAACTGCCTCGTTGGCCGAGTGGTCATAAGTGCGACTACCGGGCAAGGGGTCCCGGGTTCAATTCCCGGGTCGGGCAAAGTATTACTGGGTTTTTTTATAAATTCTCAGTAATAGCCTCATAACATAATTAGTGAAAAGTGGTGATTTTTGAAAAATCGAGTAATACTTTGCCCGACCCGGGAATCGAACCCGCGACCCCTTGCCCGCCAGTCGCACTTGCGACCACTCGGCCACCGAGGGCAGTCAAATCAAACTTAATTATTTTACTTTAATTCAACTATTGCATCTAAAAAACTTACTCAGATGTTTGTGTTAAATTTTTGAAACGTTTTACTAAGACATGTTCCTATACCCCTCAGACCGGCGGCGTTCATAACGACGATGGCCCGCGAGGTGGCGCGCTGCGCGGCGGCGGCGCAGTCGGGGCAGCCGTCGGCCGCCTACCTGGCGCTGCACAAGGGACGCGCCGAGGTGCTGCGCGGCATCGAGCTACTCATCGACCGCATGCACAACGAGGTCGCGGAACTGCTCGTCGAGGTCAGACAGACATTTATTTACTAGCTTTTACCCGCGGCTTCGCTCGCGTCCCAAAAGGATAAAAAGCAGCCTATGTGACATATGCCAATACACACAGCGCCATCTATACCAATAATTTCATTTTCCCTCGAGATTATCAATTTTTCCGGGATGAAAAGTACCCTATTATTTAATCCGGACTTCTAACTTCACGTTTGCAAAAATTCAAAGCAATCGGTTCAGTAGTTACGGCGCGAAAGTGGAACAAACAAACTCACTTTCCGATTTATAATATTAGTAAGGATGAATTAGAAAACCCACAGCTACACATGACAAACAAATAGATAATATAATAACACCAGAAAGCCAATTACAAATTTTCACGAATCTATTTATAGGTTTTTATTTATAGTGCGTGTGTGTATGTGTGTGTGTGTGTAAGAGACAGAGAGAGAGAGAGAGAGAGAAATGGAGACTACCAAGGCAATAACAGGTCCAATAATTTTCAATTTTTTTGCACATATTCAAAAATCATGCTCATTGTGTGACAATAGGCTAAATCCCCTATATTAGATTATATCTAAAAACAATGCTAGAATAAATCGAAAATTAAGTATATCGGCAAATAAATGAATGAAAGTTTAACTATTTAAAAATTGACTGCAAAATTGGCGCGGTGATCGGGCAACTGATTGCCGCGCAACGTGTCACGGGTTCGATTCCCGCACGGAACAACTCTTTGTATGATCCACAGATTGTTTTTCCGGGTCTGGGTGTCATGTGTATGTGAACTTGTATGTTTGTAAACACACCCACGACACAGGGGAAAATCCTAGTGTGGTTCAACGTTTTTAAAGAAAAATTAAGAAATATTCATATATAATTTAAACTGACTGCCTCGTTGGCCGAGTGGCCGCAAGTGCGAATACCGGGCAAAGGGTCTCGGGTTCGATTCCCGGGTCGTATAAAGTATTACTGGGTTTTAAAAAAAATCTCAATAGTAGCACGGAGTCTAGAATTGTGCCCGATATATGGCAATAGGCTCACCCCCTATTACATGGGACTCATAACATAATAGTGAAAATTGGGTGTTGCACCTCTGCCTACCCTTTCGGGGATAAAAGGCGTGATGTCATGTTACTTAACTAATTAATAACTTAATCTGTCAAACACCAAGCGGTCACCGGTGACCGCGACCTATTGTTCTTTAATTGTGTCTATAAAACCGGTACTCGACGAGTTAACTAATATCTTATCCTTATTTTTCCAGGTCATGGATATTATCCTGCACTGCGTGGACCAGTCCCACCTGAAGAGCAAGGGCCTCAACGAGGTGTTCCCGGCCATCTGCAGATACAACCAGGTCTCACACTGCCCCGCCACCAGGAGGATCGCGGGTAAATATATATTACTAGCTTTTACCCGTGGCATCGCTCGCGTCACAAAAGGATAAAAGTAGTCTATGTGACATATACCAATACATACAGCGCCATCTATACCAATACTTTTGTTTTCCCTCGAGAATATCAAAATTTTCCGGGATAAAAAGTACCCAATTATTTAATCTGGACTAACTTCTAACTTCACGTCTGCAAAAATTCAAAGCAATCGGTTTAGTAGTTACGGCGTGAAAGCGGAAAAAACAAACAAACAAACTCACTTTCTAATTTATAATATCAGTAAGGATTATTCTTAATTATGTTTACTGATTTGTCCCCCCAGTGGGCAGCCACACGGGCCAGCTGGCCATGTACGAGCTCCGCGCGGGGCGCTGCCAGTCGCTGGCGGCCCACAGCGGGCCCGTCACGGCCTGCGCCTTCAGCCCCGACGGACGGTACCTCGTCTCATACGCCACCGCCGACAACAGACTGTCGTTCTGGCAGAGTACTGCTGGTGAGTACTATATACACTTTGTTACTATGTATGTCTCTGAACTCAAATTTTGCAACTAAAGGATGACGGACAAACATGTATAGAAAGAAGATAAAAAAATAATTTATTTGTCACCAGGCATGAACCACCAAATATACATAAAATAATATTGAAAAACAAAAAAAAAAGAAAGTAAAACATAACATATATAAGTTTTCAAATATACCTATATGTTTAGTGTTTATTGAATATTCTGATTGTGAGATTTGTTATTTATTACACTGCTACATTGCCTATTTATAAAGGTTTAAATCACCTGCTACTTTCATCTCTGCACTGCTTAAAGGTTGACTGGGAGACAATGCCCAAGGCATTAAGTCCACCTGTACACACTTGTTGTATGAAGTTGAAATAAAATAAAAAATAAAAATAAACATAACATTTAAAATATTGCAGTAAAAAACAATATAAAAAAGTAAAATAAAACAGCAACAGGGTAGCAGTATGGGAAATTTTTATGTGCTCACCGACCAATAACGACCAGACGTATGTCTTTAGAAAGCTCTTTTCATGACTATCATTTGATATTATGGGGACTAGTCTCAATAAGTTGTGGGGAAAATATTAGTTACTTAAATGATATCTATTAACCCATATATCCCCAAGCGGTCACCGGACTGCTCTCCTCTAACTACATTATAGACCTTATTTCCAATGTTTAGAGACTACTTTTGTATGAAAAAATTTAGGGGATGAATTTCAACAGGTTAAAAGACATGGAGTAATGTTAAGCCCAACTCTCAATCGGGTACTTACCAACTAGTCAAATTCAATAGCTTTTTTCGAACTTGTGTATTGTGACGTCACGTTTTTTAGCGTCAAACAGCATACTTATTTCTTGAAAATTTGCTGTAGAAATACTAAAATTAAGTTGGTTATAAAATCAATTAATGAAAGTGTGATTGTTTTTTAATATTGTATTGTATTGAACAGTCGAAATAGTTTATTTTTGACTAAGGAAAGTACCCGATTGAAATAAGATACCTCTCTATAGATAGGTGTTCTTATGCAGAATAAAACATTGTATTACATGTATGTACCATTCAACGACAATATATACACACTAACTTATACTATTTTCACCATCACACAACCAATTTATGTTTTTTTATGGCATAAACGAGCAGACGGATCTTCTGATGGTAAGCAATCGGCGTCGCCCATGGACACCTGGAACACCAGAGGCGTTACAAGTACGTTACTGACCTTTTGGGTATTAGGAGTTTGAGGTTTGAACCTAGCTTCACCTAGTTTCACTGACGGACTGACTGACAGACTATTATTTATTTCGTATTTGTTGACGTTTCAAAAGTACTAAACTATGGTTTAATTGAAATAAATGCTTTGACTTTGACTTTGAGGATCGTTGGGGATTCAGGAATTGGGGAGATTGGGGAAGGGGAAGGTAATTGGGCCTCCGGTAACCTCACTCACACGACGAAACACAACGCAAGCGTTGCTTCACGTCGGTTTTCTGCTCGGCCGTGGTATCACTCCGGTCGAGCCGGCCCATACGTGTCGAAGCATGGCTCTTCCACACTTAGACTCAAAATTAACTAATAATAATAATATTTTTTCCAGGTATGTTCGGTCTAGGAGCGGCGCAGACCCGTTGCGTAAAATGCTACAGTACCGCCCCAATGGCGGACGTAGCCAGACTCAATCCCGCGCGCCTAGCCAGACTCGTCTGGACTAATTCCAGAACTGTCACCCTCATGTTAGCTGACGGCTCGGAAACTAGGTTTAATGTGTAAATATTGTGAAAGAAATATTTTGTTTTGATGTTAGACAAATAATTCGAATTAATAACATAACATCACGCCTTTTATCCCCGAATGGGTAGGCAGAGGTTCACATTACGGCACTAAATGCCACTGTACAATGTAACACCCACTTTTCACTATTTATGTTATGAGTCCCATGTAATAGGGGGTGAGCCTATTGCCATATACCACATTTCCAGACTCCGTGCTACTACTGAGGTTTTTACAAATCCAGTAATACTTTGCCCGACCCGGGAATCGAACCCGAGACCGCTTGTCCGGCAGTCGCACTTGCGACCACTTGGCCAATGAGGCTGTCGTCGCAGTCGCAATTCGTATTAATGATCAACAGATTAGCTTCGATTTGTATTTTATAACTACCGTGAGACAAAAAATAGCTCTACTAGTTTCGAGTCACTGAGGGACTCTTCTTCGTGAGCAGCATGCGCTGACGCGGCGACGTCACGCAGTCTACTTTGTTTAACTTGAAAATAGGTAGGTAGGTAGGTTATCTCAATATATACGGCACTAGCAAACCCGGCGAACTGCGTTTCGCCACCAGATGGCTTCGTTTTATGTAACATTTCGTTTGGTGATTAAAAGATGAAAATAATATTTTTTTCCTGAATTTTGTTTGCTATAAACCTCACGGAGCCCGAGACCTTTCCAACGAATGCAAAACCGTGGAAATCGGTTCGTGCGTTCTTGAGTTATAGCGTCAGGAAGGAAAACCCGACTTATTTTTATATAGTAGATTATTTGTGGAGGCAAAATCATCTAATGACTTCTTCCGCATTGATTGAGAATAGAGGAAGTGTCAGACTCTTACTGACTAAACACCACCCCATTCCTACTCCTGCTCTTCGAGCTGGAGCCAGGGTATCCCGCAAAGTTGTCCGCAGCTCCAGCCTCTGTAATAACTTGGAGTTTTTAATCTGTGCCTGGTTTATGATAAAGATTTATCCCCTATTACATAGGACTCATTTACATAACTCTACATTGTATATAATGTGCTCCTCTGCCTACCTATTTCGTAGATTAAATGGCGTTATGTTTACTGAAGAGCAACTTTCTTCTGTTTCACAAGTAAATCATACAAATATTTGTATCGCACGGGAAGGGAACTTGCATAGTTATTTGTCTAACATCAAAATAAAATAAACTATTAAGTCATGTATAAAAACTAGTTAAAAAGTATTTAAAAATGTTATCTAAATATTACTACTAATGCGTTAATTAAATCTACCAATTTTTGGTATTTTTTGCTATGGCAACCGTATTAAAATGGTTTGTTGATCTGGCAACATCACGATAACTGTCAAGATACATTTGAAAATCGAAATATTGGTGTGTATTGTTATTTTTCAGAGAAAATTAATATATTTTGAATATGTGTAATGTAATGTAATTAATTATTTAAATTAACGTTAAGTTTCACTCTTATGTGGTATTTAGTTGAAATTCACGGAAACTATTAAAACAAATTTAAGGGTCTGACTGCCAATAAAAAAAATTTTGAAGGCAAATCCTCAGGTAACGTCAGTCACCGTTGACCCCCATGGCGTTTAATGTATTAATGATACTTAGTACCTAACCTACTCATACACAGTATATCAAAGTCTAAAAAGTTAGTTATAAAATACCTTTTTATAATAACTATCGTGAGACATACTAAAACTACATACTAAAAATAACGAGTTACTCACTTAAGTCCAGTTTCTATAACCTATCTATCTGTAGATTTGCTTACTAGAGATAGAATTTTGATATGAGCTCCATACAAAATGTGTCATCTCTAGTAAGCAAATTTACAGATAGATAGGTTATAGAAACTGGACGTTAGGTATAAATATTGAGAATAGCTCTAGTAGTTTCGAGTAACAGAGGGGCTCATCTTCATGAGCAGCGTGCGCGGGCGTGGTGACGTTGCGCAGCCTACTCAGTTGAACTTGAAATTAGTAAGATTGCTCAACTCTTCGCACAGCCTAGTACAGAAGCATCTCTCTGTGAATCGAAACTAGTAGGGCTTTTCTCATTAACTCGTCGAGTACCGTATTTATAGACACAATTAAAGAACAATAGGTTGCGGCTACCGGTGACCGCTTGGTGTTTGACAGTTTAAACCGGTATTTTTAAATAATTTCGAAATAACCTTCAAGCAAGCAGTTATACATGATTAGGTTTGTATAAAAATTGTCTGTAATCATTTTTTAAATGTAATTTGCTAATTTTATAGAGCTTGATATATTCTGTATGAGTTTTCTTAATTTTTTCCGTCTAGTGTCGAGACACTATTAAAATTTATCGATATGTCGACAATAATTGTTTATTTTATCGATAAATGACGAATGTTTTAAGAGTAGTCTATGTATAATGCTATGTTGTATGTTAATAATAATTAACGTTATTTTAGTTTGCTGTATATTATCTTAATATTGTTAATTTATTACTATGCTGTAATACTGTTCAAATGTGTGAAAACTGTGTCTGATTCCATGAAGGTAATATTTACCGGAAATATTACATTTTTACAAGAAAAATGTCGTAATTTTAATTGTTATCGGTTGACTGTTTAACAATCGGTCTCTGATTCAATTCCCAAGATGAGTAAAAAAGTTTTGTTAGAGTTATATGTACTTTCTAAGATTATTTAGACACCACTGACAAACGATAAAAGGAAGACATCATGAGGAAACCTGGGCTTATAATTTTTAATTAGAAGGTTGAAATTGCAAACCCGTACTGGGCAAGCGTGGTGATTGATGCTCAAACTTTTCCGTGTGAGAAGAGGCCTTTGGTCAGCAGTGGCTACTCATAGACTGTTAATGTTAGAGATTTTCAGTTTAGAAGTGCTCAATGATGAGCACGAAGCTTGTAGTCATCATCATCATCATAATCATCACCAGCTTATAAATGCCCACTGCTGAGCAAACCCTCTTCACACACGGAGAAGGCTTGAGCATTAAGCACCACGCTTGCTCAATGTGGGTTGGCGATTTTAAATTTATAATTATAAATTATAAGCCCAGGTTTCCTCACGATGTTTTCCTTCACCATTTGTCAGAGGTGTCTAGATAATCTTAGAAAGTACAAATAACTCGGAAAAAGTCACATAGGTACTTACCGTTGGTAGGTTTCGAACCCGCACCCTCATGCATGAGAAGCGTGCGTCTTAAACCTCCGGGCCACCACGACATAGCCACCAGACGAAGCCAGTAGTTTGGCCTGATTTTGTCATTTGGGACTCCTATTGAATGGGACTGGCACACAGCTGGTGGTAGATGGGTGTTCGCAAACATATTTGCTATATCTACGGTCGAATAAATGCTCTTTCTTTTTTTCTTCTCTTTCTTTCTTTTCATTCTTTCTTTCTTTTTCTTTCTTTCTCTTCATTATTTCTTTCTTTTCTTTCTTACTATCTTACTAATACTATAAATGCGAAAGTTTGTGTGTATGTTTATTACTCAATCATGTCCAAATGGCTGAAGGGATCAGGGATGACATTTGGAACAAGGCTACTTTTTATCCTGCGGACGAAACCGCTGGAAGATATTAGTTAAGTTATATTTCTTATCTTAAACCGCGACTTCGTACGCGTACCATCCCATTTTTTCCCGTCCCCGTTCGTGATATTCGGAAAAAAGTAAAAAAAAATTGGTTAAAAAGAATCCTATGTCGGTCTCCTGGCTCTAAGCTACCTCCCTACCAATTTTCAGCCAAATCTATTCTGCCGTTCTTGAGTTATAAGTGGTGTAACTAACACGACTTTCTTTTATAAATATAGTTTATCTTTATGGATCAGACAGTAGTCTTAAACATATTAAATATTTATAAGATGTATTATAACCGAGAATATAGAGCTTACAATAATAATTTAATACTATTTCAAATGAATGCACTAAAATAAGTTTGTCTATCTGTCTGTCTTCTTGTATGTTGGCGCTTATCTCTGAAATTAGCGGTTCGATTTTAAATATTTTTTTATTATTTCGTAGCTGTTTTCACCAACCATCTCTTAACTAAGAGTTACCCAGCGTGAGGGAGCACTTAAACTAACACCTTTAAGTGTCACATCTAGGTTAGTGAAAACTAAAATGTCGTTAAGTGCCACTTATCTACGCTTAGGGGTTTCTTAAAATTTATGGGAAGTTAACAAAATGAACATAAGTGTTCATGATTTATATTTTAGGGCATATATCATCACGCTATTGTACTTAGGTACGGAGTAGGAATTGAAATTATGGAGCAATAACCTTCTTAGAAAGATTTTTTGGTCGAGTCAAGTGTGACTGTTGAATAGCGTGGCTGGGGTTCAATTCCCGGTTGGAGAGAATTGATGAGATTCTTAATTTTCGTAATTATTTGTTAAATATAGCACACAATTTGTGTTTGGTAATAGACATACTCCTGAGGGCCTGATGACATGTTCTATAATATTAAAATCGCTCACTCGAATCACTGAATGAGTTGCTAAGCGCAAACCTCGAAAACAGCTGAACCGATTTCGATAAATCTTTTTTGTTATTGTTAACCCGTCGAGCGTCCGCGTTCCTTATGTTCCAACGGGTGCACACGTGACATTTGGAGAAAGAGTGAAATAAAGGAATAAAATGCATTTATTTGGCCATTGGCACACGAAAACAAGGATCATTACAATAGAAATAAAAAATACAGTCAAAACAAAAACAAAACATTAATAATAGATTTTATAAAAGAGAAAGCAGCATGGAGCATTTTTTCTTATGATCCACCGGGTGCTCATAAGGACGCTCGACGGGTTCCTATGTAAAACAAAAATAATAAATATGCGCAGAAAATTTTACAAGGCGAAAT